CTTCATGAAGAAGATTAAACAGAGCCCAATCTCTTTGTGCGCAGTTGAGGGAGGGGGAGAAAATGAGAAAACGAGAGGGAGAGGGAGGGGCAAGAACTGAACAAGATTTAGTGTGCCATGACGATTAGGACGTTCCTGATCGCTGCAATTGATTTATCCTTGATCTCAAGGGAGCTCGAATCTTGTAACTAAACAAGAACTGGAACCACACCCTTTGCAACGRCAATTAGGACGTTCTTATCATCCTCATGGAGCAACCCAAGGAAGGAATCCATGGCCGTGTTCCCGATCTGCAAACGAGTTATCAAGTTTCTGGCTTTGACATGGACCAATTCATGCTTGGAAATTGTTATGGTGGCACATTTGTGTCATCTAATTCCAGCTCCTGTGCGGGCTTTCTCTCTAAAGAACGTAGTGCTGGATACACAATGTGCTCAATCAGGTTCATCTTTCAGCCACATGAAGCAAAAGTATCAAGTTTCTTTGGATGGCAGTTCATAGTCGGCAGTTCTTTGGTGTGCTGCATGGCAGTTACAGATGGTGTCGTCTTTTGTGATTTTTTGGAGTGGTTGAAAGTTACAGTTCATGGCTTGTGGCTATGTAACCTCCCCTGTCAGTTTTCGTTTTAGTTGGTAACTCCTCTTGTCAGTTTGTTCACCAGTTATGGTGGTTTGGAGATGTACTTATCCACTTCTGTTGGTGATGTTAAGCCACTTTATTTTGATTGCAGAAGTTCTTCTGACTCTCCTAATTCCATCTCTTTGTTTTGTTCTTCTTGAGAATGTATCTCTGATCTTTATTTGGCCTGGTTGGCTTCTCTTTGTACAATCTCTTGAATGAATGAAACATGATTGAAACTTTCAAAAAAAAAAAAAAAAACCAGAAATCAAAGGTAAGGAAACCAACCTAGTTTCAAGCTTTGCCCAATTTTTCTGCTAATTTTGGGTCGGAATGAATCTATTTATGCATCTAAGCATGTTCCCTGCTGAGGCAAGTTACTGCTAAGTSTTCGTTTGTTATGTAGAGATGTGAAATACCTTTGCTATAATCCCGCTAATGAATTTGAACCATTCTTTGAGAGGTTGGGTTTATCGCCATCTGAGTTTCCCCCCTTCTTCCGCATAACCTGATTTCATAGTGATSATGATATCGTGCTAGAGAATTTTAATGTTCTGTGTATTCCTCATACTAAGATTGGTAAGATTTACAAGGAGGCAAGGGAAATTTTTGCATATGACTATGGGATTTTGGCTTCAAAACTCCTTTGGTCTTAGTAAGGCAATTGTCATTAAGTTTGTCATCTGTTACCCATTACTTTTGATCAGTAATATATAAGGAATTTGCTCAAATTCTTGAAAAGTTGAAGCATTTAGGCATTGAACAAGATTGGACCAGAAGCTACTTGTTGGACAACAGCATATATAATTGGAAGAGAGTGCTTAGTGGTGGCAATTGGGCGGGTTGGGTTGGGTTTGGTTTGGGTTGAATTTCAATCCAACCCATTTGACCCGCCAACCCGTTAATGACCCAATCATGTAAAATTAAATGGGTTGGGTTCAACCCAAACCCGCTTTAACCCAATCCAACCCGCCCAAACCCATTAATCTTATATTCATGTACTTAAAACCAAAAACTAACTCCATCCTAATAAGTAAGTTGGTCATAGCTTAGTGGTAATAGTAGTTGATATTTACACAAGTGGTGAAGGTTCAAATCACATTACATTCACTAATTTTACACAAGTAGCAAAGCCATTTAACTATGTTTGGGTTTCGGATTTGACGAACCACTTAGGTTCAAACCAGTCGAACCAAAACTTGAACTATCTAATTGGATTTTCTTTGAACTAATCACATCAAGAGTGGTTGAACCGTTTAGATCTGGACCAGTCCAGCCAGGCCAGGTCCTGACTGTACCGATTCGAACCAGACCCGATTGAACCAATTCAAACCGGTCAGACCAAACCAGATCGGGCCGGTTCAGCTGGGTCGGTCCAGACCCGACTGGACCTAATAAAGAGTACTGATAGTGATTTTTCCCTAAAAATAAAGCATACTTCTCTTTATCACATCCTACCGCACCTCATCTCCAATGGTCATCGTAATAGAAGGACAAGACACCTCTATGGTCTCCTTGGTCTTCAACTTTGCCATTTTCTTGTCAATATCCTCCAGATTGGATTTGATCTAAATATGCTATAAAAGGCAAGAGAAAAGTAGACTTTAAAAGAGGATGAAGCGGACTGCAATAAAAAACAGAAACTGAGAATGACGAAAAGTTGCAGGAGACTTCTCTGTTTCTTTGATTGCATCATGCCAAATGCATTAAATGACCAATAGTAAATACTTTACTGTGCTATTTAGTTCGATTAAAGAATGCCAAGTGTTACATCCAAGCATTACACCATTCTCACACACAACCACTGCCAACAACACAATTTAAGAAAAATTCTTCAATGTAACAGTAATCTTCATGTGTACTTATTCGTAGACTCAATAAGTAAGGGATACCTTTGAATAAGTAAATTGCAAAATGGTTAGACCCATTGTTTTTACGATATCAAATCAGCCCCCACAACGTTTCACAGTATATCAATCCCCGCCGTGTATTGGGAATATCTCTCCGATGTAACTACATAGGTTTGGGCACTATGAAAAATCCATTGGAAGACATTCAAATAAGTGATCATAGCACAATCATATTGCACCATAAGCCTAATCATCCCACCTGCATAGTATGAGCTGGGCTTAAGAACATTTAAGCATGACTAAACCAAAATGCCATATACTCTAAAAAACCTCTACAGTAAAATCCCATAACAGCAACTCTTAAGCTATGACAATTGCTTACGATTGCAATGCGAAGTACTAAATTATCATTATGACACAATGCACAAGCACTGCTATTTTAAGGACCTAGTTATTGTCCTACGATTTGGTATATCATTGCAGCAGTTCTATGCGTTGTGATGACAGTAATCTGCCCATAAAAAGCCCGTGATGACAACCGATATGTGAATGCTCTAAAAACTGTCTAAGTTACAAGAGTCTTTTAGAAGTAGGGTTATAGTTACAACCGTGCTAACATGTGGATCCCGAGGATAAGGGTGAGAACTCAGACCTCAGGATTTCCATAAAAACACATGGCGAAACCCTATTTGTATCATCTCAATCTAGATCTAAGTATCTAACTAAATAACAAACTTTCTCGCTTTGGGAAAAGATATTTTTTTTCTTCCCGTGTGATTTCCTCTATAAATAACGGAGGCCTGAAGTCCTCCTCACTGACATCTTGTTGTTCCCTTGCATAAGCTCTGCTGAATTGTGCTCTCAGCCTTCATAAAGCTTTCTTCGCAACCTTCTCTCTTTTCCCTTCCGCTAGTTAGAGCCATCTAGCGTTTTTCAAGTAGACCCTCTGTCGCCTTATCCACCCCGCTCATACGTTGTATAATGAAAATGACAAAGAATTTCTTGGTCTAAAAGAAAACCAATAAAAGTCATCAATAAGTACCTTTGCAAATGCTTTTGGGTATGTATGTGAGTGTTACTGTTTGGTTCATTTTTTATTAATTGGTTAGAGTTGGAAGTCTGTGGATTCATTTGGATTCTTCCATTGTCTACTATGATGAATTCAAATATATTGATTTGGCTTATATTAGAGGCAAGGCCCACAGAGCTGGGTTACAAAAAATTATTTCCCTTATTGGAGGGAATGGAATGGAAAAGGGTGGAAAGATGGCGTATGAGGTATGACTGGGTCGGGTTGGTTCTATCCATGCCTAGCCCAGAACGACCTGGCCTTTCACTGTAATGGGCTCAGTATCTCAAATCTTTTGTCCACGAACAACGATATATTCAAATTGCATTGGCATGTCATCTTCAATTTCTAGCAAATATTTCATTGATGTAAAGATCCAGCCAGCATTTTCAAACAAATTCAATAAACTACAGCTGTTGATGGGAATTTGAACTAAAATTTTAGGTTGAGACTAAACTGTAGAAACACTGAAGATGGGTTAAACTTCATTGGATGGCCCAACAACTGTCAATCTCCAGATGGGCCCAATCGGACTCAGGCCAACTTGTCCCAGACTTCTTTTCTTTGGGATAATGGACTGAGCTGGACAAAGCTCACAGACAGATCCAAACGCAGCCCATTGCCACCACGGACATTCTTTGTTTTTGTAAGTTTTGCTGAGAAGACGTCAGGATGATGAGAATGGTCTCCACAGAGAACTAAATCCATTGTCAGGACACGTGTTGCAACTACTGCTTCTTTATTTTACATTTTTATTTATAATTAAAAAAGGGATATGAAGCCCCAAAAAGATTCCTGGACCACCTTTCAAATCTCTCTCTCTCTTCTCTCTCTTCTCTCTCTCACACACACAGCAATTCTCTCGAATTCTGTTTCATGATAGTTACCCAGAATCACAGCGTCTGTAAGTAACCGTGTCAAGTGAAGCAAACTGCTGTTCAGAAAAATTAGCCAGGCGTCTAGACCCTGTTTGCTTGCATGCAAGTCAATAGTCAATTAATTATAGTTCCACCATTATCAGTTGAATCCCTCATGAATTGACTAATCAGCTTCATGAATTGACAACCAGCTTGCCACTAGTTTACTTTAATCCCCCCTTCTCTATTTTTATTTTTATTTTTCCTGTTCTAAAAGACTGTCCATAATAGTTCATATCATTCACAAATCACACTTGTAATCTACTCCCACTACCACCAACTAGCAATAAACAAAACTAAAATGACAGTGGCGCCGACTCATCAAGGATGGTGGTGATACACGGTGGAATCCTTATATCTTTCTATCTGGTACAGTAATTCACAGGTTTGTAGCAGCCACAAGTTATAGCACCGATTCACCGGCTTTAGCTATATGATTTGATGGAATTGATGGGTATGGGATTTGACACATCAATTCACAAATTTGTACTGCTAGCCACTGTTGCTGATGCCATTGCTACTCAAATCAATACTGATACAAATATGGAAGAGAAGCAAATTTGACCCAACACTCCAGGTTAGGAGTGAGGGTTCAAATTCAATTAAACTTAAATCATTTAATGAGAACCCATAACAAAATCTTACCAGTAAAGCTGGCATAGTATTTATTGATGATGATGGAACAGAACTCTTCTCCTGGGAGACCAAAGTCCAGCCTCTTCCTTTTATATGCAAGGGAAGATCACGGTTCGGGTGTTCAATATGGAACATGTATATGGGAATGATATTATTTTTACAGGGGGGGTGGACCGAATCAGATCGATTTGCAAAATACAGAGACACTATTTACAGAAAAACTAAGGTGTAACGAGAATTTTCAAGCTGTGTGTGTATTTGCTGCAGTCTTTTTCAGTCTCTCCAGGATACCATTAGCCTTTCTCTTTGCCCTGGAAGTTCCATTCTTTGCAAGCTGAGAAATCGTACCGTGGGCACTTTCCTCTGCTCTGATTTCCTTGCACTTTGTCCGATCATTGATACAGATGGAGTATAGAATGGCAACACAATTCTCCTTGTTGCGTCCACAAGAGCTCTCTCTGATAATACTAAGCAAACATTGCACAGCACCCAGATCACCCATTTCATCTACAGCCTTCTGATGGCTAGACAGCATTGCAAGGATTGCCAACAACTCATCAACCAGTATATGATTTTTTATCTTCTTCAGGATTACCTTCACCGCCCCATCATTAACAGCTCTGGCCTTGTTCTCATGCATGATGCAGAGATTGAAGATGGCCGATGCCACATCCTTCATGGCTAATGGGTGCCCCTCGTCCAGAAGGTTGATCAGGGGTTTCAAGGCTCCTGACTTGCCGATAAGGGCCTTGTTGGAATCGAGAGCAGATAATGTGAACAGGGCTGCCGCTGCATTGCTCCTTGTTTCAATGGTTCCAGACGTTAAAGACTCCATCAGCAGAGGTATGACTTCTGGGGTCTCTGCAACAAGCTTCTTGTTGCTATCATGGATTGAGAGGTTGAGGACGGTTGTTATCACATCTTCTTGGAGATCAGGATGAAGACTGGCTTGGCCTGGTGTGAGCGGCACAAGCAATTGGGGAATGGCGTCTAAAGACTCACCGAACAGAGCCCTGAATGAAGGCATTCGTTTGGTCAGTTGCCGGAGCTGTTTTGCAGCCTTTGTCTGTTCACTAACAGATCCAGATAATATTCCTTCAAGCAACGATTCGAAATACTCGCGATCTGACTGTGTAATCCCTTCCTCCTGAGCATCCCGAAATGAGTCGGGTAGCTCGATCCCTTGGTTCTTGCACCACTGAGAAATCATGTCCCTTACCAAGAGATTGGGTGTTAGGACAGTCTGCGAAAGAACCTGTTGGGTCTGAGGGCAAGTCCGATTGCCTTCCTTCAGCCATTTCTCAATGAATGGCCGATCATAAGTCTGCATGATTCAAGCAGAAAAAAGAGGATTAAAGAGAAATTATGTGAAACAGACATCAAAAATTATAAACCAAAGTAAAAGAACATTATCATAAAACTGAATTGCAGAGAAGGTTTCCAAGAGAAGCATATTTCAGTTTTTTCTAAATTGAAACAACCGGAAATTGTAGAAAATGACTAATTTACAGTGAGAACCTATTCTACCAAATTCTATAAATTTCTTCCGTAATGTTACACTCAAAAACTCAATCCATTCATCAAATAACATAGATTGATAGAGAAACCCTTTCAATTGACACTGCTATTCTTCAATCGAGAAAATCAACCACTTGGAACAGTTCTATCTGAATTAAATTATTTCATCTTGCAGAGTAAAATAATAATGTAAAGATGAAATTAACACTGAAAATTTATCTTTCCTTGCTTTTTGTATTTTTTGTTTAAACAATTCAACAGTTGGAAACAAAAATACTTCTAAAGAAACCGCAAAGAACAGAATCAAAAGACGATTGAATTCAATGAATACCCAAAATCAGAATCCTCGTAGTAACAGTGTATCTCTGTAATTCAAATGAACAGAAAGACGCTTCCAAATTCATCAATGACGCATAAAAACACAAAAAACAGACAAGAATAAGGAAAAAATTATTTAATTTACTATCAAAATTCTTGAAATTATGGATAAAAATGCAAGTAGGCTCCGGATAACCCAAAATTCTGTCACCAACACGGCACAGAGAAACCCAGAACCCCTAAAATCCCATAAAAGGAACAAGACATAAAGCATAACCCTAACCCTAACCTGTCCGCTGGACACGATAACAGGATCCCTCATGAGTTTGTTCGAAAGAGGACACCGGAACTGCTCGGGGCACGCGGTAGCATCAAGCTTAAGCGAGAGAGATTTCTTGTACTTCAAATCCTTCAAACCAGACAAAGCCTCTATAGCCTGATCAAACGTCTCAGTCCGCGACTCATCTTCTTCCACGATTATCTTCACAAGCCTCTTCAACTCCTTTTTCAACTCTGCCACCTTCGCCACTACCGTTGGATCGGTCTCAACCACACCCGTCTTTGCCATTTCTCTGGAACTCCAGAACAAACACTAAACACCGAGAAGAGAAACAATCTAAAATCTCAGAAAACCCATAAAACCAGAATCGAATTCTGAGAAAACAACGATGATCGAGATTTTATCTTTTTCTCGCATTCTCTTTTTTCTTTTCTGTTTTTGCTTCTCCTAGCAGTAAAACAAATCAGGCATAAAAAAATGGCAAAAACGACTTCTCTCTCTCTCTCTCTCCAGYGATTCTTGATCTTGAGAGCAAGTGATGCTTGATCCTGACTCCCTGACTCCTGAGTCGTTCGTTTATATAAAGAGATGGGCCCACCGTCCACATTGTTTGCAATCATGGAATCCGTGGCCGCACAGCTGGCAAATGCGCCAAATGGAAAACTTTCAATTATCCCTGTGCTTCAAGTACTATTTCATTTAAATTTCAAGACAATCATTGTCGTACACTTTTGAACGTTGTTGTCAATCTGAACCGTCTAATCTCATCGTTAAGTCAGTTAAGTTGCACAATATTTGTAGTCCTCTGATTTGACGGTCCAGATCATCTGATGGAGTCCCGTAAAACTGCATGTAGGATAATATCTTGTCTGTTATGTGTCGTGAGAATGGCTTATTAGGTACGCGGTACGCCGAATGCGTCCCGTGCCCGTGGTGTTGGTCCGAGCTTACGAAAATACTCCTCTGTGGGTTTTCTAATTACGGCCTTGCCACTGAGTTGTTGGCTTCGCTGTTCGCTCGTGACACTAATTATTCACCTAATTGGGTTCGACTATGAATCTATGATATGAAAAGGATATGATATCGAAAAAACATGGGAAGATACTTTGAGCACTATTATGGATCGGGTCGGAAGACAATGGAATTTGCAACACTTCCAGTGTTCTTTGCGAAGCGGTTAGGGTGCAACTTAGGCGGGTTTAACTGAACCCGGCCTATTGGGCATGAGTTTTCAAGCTGCGGGTTGGGCTTGAGTCACAAAATTCGGGCCTGACTTAGATTGAGTTGTCGGATAAGCCGACTAGTCGAGCCTACTCCAAAAAATATATACACATACGTGTATATAAAAATATCTTTTTTTCTATGTATGATTTATACATGTTTTTAATTAATTATACTTTTAAATTAGATAATAAACACCAATAAAATATAATTGTATAAAAATATATACATAAATTCTTTTGAATCTGATTAATCAAATCTAGTACAAACAAAGCCTAAGCTGAAGCCAAATTAAATTGATTTAAACTCTAATCGCACTTGGATTGATAAATTTGGGCTTAGATCATGGTTTTGAAAATCAGACATGACTGGACAATCAAACTGGTCGACTCAAGAACCGGTCAGGTAGTTGACAAATAAAAAAACAAAAAAACTATTGATTTGATTAGCAAACCAATGACTGAAGCAGTAAAACAATCAATCCATTAACCTGAATAATGGTTTTAGCCATCTCTTATTTTATTTTATTTTTTAATTTTTTAAAATTAGAATAGGCCATCGTTCAAATTGGACGGTTAAACTGTTTGACTTGAAAATCGGTTCCAAAACGATTCTATGTCCACCCTGTTTTTTAAAACCTTGACATAGACCCGAGCATGAGATTTGCACCTTTAAAATTGAATTGGATTGACCTTCAATCCGACCATTACTAATCCACCCAAATTGTACCCCTAAAAAGACTCAAAATCTTCTGCCCACATTCACTCACGACACTACCTTCGTGCATTAGAAACATCTCTCAGGAGAATGAGATGTTGTAATTTATGGGAGCAAACGCGTGGACAGAATTCTTGTAAGGAGGAGATCCTGACTCCCTAAAAGCGGTGGATCGTGAAAAGGGTAGATGTTGTAATTTATGGGAGGGAGCAAACGCGTCACGGACTCACGGCCACATCAGAGCAACTTTTTCCGGCTTCCATAGATACAACAGAAACTAATACCCTTTCCTTTTGCGTGCCACTAGTCATGCATACTTTCTGCCACGTATCACGTGGTGCGATGGTAAGTTAATAACAACAGTAACACAAATCATTTCATTTCAGTGGCATATTTCGTAATAATCACGCCATCGATAACACCTGTCCCTATTATACGTCCAAGCGGTGGCCCCCTGGACTGTGGGTGTTTCGGGCGAGCCAACAAGAAAAGGCCGAACCAAAGTTACCAAACCGTCCCAGTAGTCGGTATTCGATACTTGCCCACTTGGTAGCCGGGCCGGGTTTTTGTATTTTCAGAGAAGTTCGGAGTTCGGACTTTGGGAAATTGGGAGGGAATGCAAATAAATAACATGTGTCGGTTTTGTTCTGAATATCGCGCGGCGCGGTAGGTGTTGTAATAGTAGTTAACAGTTTAACCCTTAATACGCGGTTGATTGAAGCAAAACCGCGTCGAGACGCGGTTGTGCCGTTGTTCAGTTTTGATCATCTTTGGCCTGATTACTGATTGCGCCGTTGGTTCAGTTCCGATTTCCATGGGTGAATTCTCTAATTTTCTTTTCCAAATGCCAATTCTCTTCTCTTTGGGGAATTCAACACGGACCTCTTATCCCATCTTCTGGAAGGGGCAGAATGTTTCATGTGGGTCCCAATTAATCAACTATGGAGAGTTTCGAACTGTCTGGTAGAGGCTGAGATATACTATTCCAATCCAATGGCTTACTTGTGTCATTATCGTTTTTTTGTCTTTTAATAGGAGGCTCCACCAAAAGAAGCTTTAATTTGTGGGTGGTTGGGACCAACCAAATTATGAATCATGTAATGTGGGCCACCTTATTCTCCGGGTTGGACCGGACAACCGGTCGGCCCACCCTAATGAGTTTTGGCAGCCATTTTATCTGCTTAAATGTTGTCGATTATGGTCTTATAAGGATGCAAAATTTGTCGTAAACGGTTTAATAAGCATGTGACCTATTACTTGGAACATAACTTGCCACGTGTCTTAATTCAAAAGGAACTAGAACGAGTCATAAAGGTCCAGCGATAAACATTAAGAGAGAGAGAGGGGGGGGGGGGACAGTCTTTGCTTACTTATCAAAAAAACACAAAAAAAAAGAGGTATAGTAGGCATAAAGCTCGAAAAAACAAGAGAAAAATCAGATCGTTTTGTTTAGGTTTAAAACCTCCGAAGGCCTCGTTTGCTCTAAAAGAAGCTATTTCTTTTATTTCACAAATAAATAAAAAATAACGATTGTTTGATTCAAAAAAAAAGACAATTTTGTTTTGTTCAAGTAAAAAAGTTATTTATTCACCTCGGAAATCAGTATCATTTATTTGGGTAGGAGAAAATAAATTTTCTATGAACCCCACATAAACCTGAAAAAAAGAGATAGGTATCTTGATCAATAGCAACCAAATTTTCTATGAGCCACTAGAGGGGCTCGACCTCAAGGAGGAGCCAGCGAGCCGAGGCCAATGATAACTCTGCATTTTGATGCCTTAAGGGCATCATTTCATGGGTATTTTCGGCCTTAGAATAGTCAAAGTATGCCATTTTCCCAGTTAAATTCAATGTTTGACCTTTGAGGGTCTCTATGCAAATTCTATGGAAAACTGAGAAAGTTTCATGCCTGAAATGAAGCTTTTGCAAAGCTAGTGTGAAGTCCAACTGAGAGAGGGGTGTTTTTGTGAAAAACTGAGAACAGGAGAGCGCCCCCTATTTGCTAAACCCAATTTGGTGCCCCTTCTAATGTATTAGCATGCTCCCCTCTCCTTAGCAAACCGTAGGGCGCCTTTTAACCTATTCTTTTCCTCCTTAGCAAACCCTAGCCACCCCCAACTATTTAATCTCCACCCTCCACTCCTTCTAATCTCCACCACTCATTTTAGGGCACTCTTTTTGTAGATTTTAAACCCTAGGGCGCCACCTAATTGCTAATCCTCACCATTCAGCCACTAACCACTAAATCTCAGCCCTCCATTCCATCTTCTATCTTAGCCATCCACTCTAGGGTGCCACCCACCTCTTTTAATCTCCACCTTTGAGCCCTAGGCGCCTCAATCTCCACCATCTATTTCTGGGTGCCCAAATCTCAGCCCTACATAATATTGGGCGTCGTCTCTTATTCTCAGCCTTAGGATCACCCCAAAACCATCCTAACCCTCCATTAGAAACTCTAGACCGCCCATATCTTTGCTAAAACCCAGCTGTCGCCCCCTTCTTTCTCTCTAATCCCAATTGTATCCACCCTTCTTTATAAAAAGAACCCAAGAGCTCCTGAGATAAGGTTAGATTCGACCCCCAAGTAAGACGGAAGGCTGATCTCGAGAAGTTCAAGGGTAGATGAAGAGGAGGGGTTCCCACTTGCCGTTCGCCAACACCACTACTACCACATCTGGAATCGGATCCCAACCACTTTTACTTTATTTTAGTTTTAATTTTTGTTCTTTCAATTCCAATTTCGTTATTTACTTTCTGCAATTTATTTTCAATCTGTTTTATCTTTGTTTTATTTTTTGCAGATCTGCAATTCGGCCAGGTAAGGCGGAAGGCCAAGCTCGAGAAGTTCGAGGGTCAAAGGAGAGATCCGGAGACTACTACCTTTGATCGGGTTACAGATTTTTATTTCATTTCTTTTGTTAATTTATTTATGTTTCTACACTTTTAACTTTCAGTACTGTTCGAATTCTATATTTTTCTCAGTTTAATTAATTAATTTTTATATTTCTGCACTTCCCTCTTGTGTTCTCTTGTTCGGATTTGAGAGTATATTAATTTTTCCCTTGCTTCCCTGTGGATATGACCCATTCTCACCCATTTACTACGTTAGTATTTGTTTGAGAGTCAAAAAATTATATAAATGTTTAAACTGGTGTTCCGAAGTGCTTAACGACACGCTTCCGAACACACCATGTTTTTGGCGCCGTTATCGGGGAAGCACAAAGAAAAATTTTTATTTGCTTTGTACAGATCTGTTTCATTATTTTTTTTAATTTTATTTTATTAATTGATCTGTTATCTCAGTTTAATTCTTGTTTCTCTTTGATTTTGTAGGACGTAATAGCGAAAGGTGGGGTACTGGAGCATTGTGGGACTGCAGGAGAGAAAAGAAGAGAAGATTAATTGGATTGCGTTTCAAGTGTAGTCATCCCATTTTACTTTTGATTTTTTGATTTTTAGTTTTGAACTCTTTTTTTGGTAGAATAGTGATTTTCAAATTTTTAATTAAATTTTTTCTAGATCCAATTTATTTTTTTAGAATTATTTTTCTTCTATTTTGTTTCTAAATCTATTTTAATTTCTTGATCGAATTTCTATCTTATTAGGTTT